AAGAATCTCTCTGAGAAGATGGCATTTACTTCTTCACAGGGTTTTTGACTTCTCAACTAACAGATAAACTACAGCTGTTTACCCCCACCAGATAATTCAGTGGTGGTACATTTTATACTCTTCCTGTAAGTCATTCTTTTCCACATTCTTTTTTAAAGAGTGTCTAGTAGGTTCTGCTTCACAATCAATCTACATCTTCTCCTACCAGAATTTTCAGATCTATATTGACCACATCACCTGAGAAAGGCTTTCTTGCCTTTCTCAAACTGGGTGAAGGCTCTCTCTATTGTGGTGTGCAGTACTCTTTCTTTTCCCCTTTAATAGTTTTGTCATGTTGTACTGCCACCATTCATTGTTATCTTCTGTCATTGAACTGCAATCTCTTTGTGGAGGGACAAGCCCACGTAGTAAGCCTCTATGCATTTTTAAGATTTAGTACAATTTTTATCATATAGTGGGCATGTGGAAAAGTTCAACTGTTAAACAGATCTTTTCTTCCTTGAGAACATATCCTTAAGAGTATAGTTATTTAGTTCAATGTGTTAAAATACACAAAGATCTTTCATAGGACTGCTTGTTTAATTCCCACTCTATTCCTCTGAATCAAACACTGTTATCCCTCACATTACAAATATAAAAACTAAAACTTAAAGCGATTCAATGCTAAATATTGACAAGGCATAAATATAACTTTTTTTTAATTTTTTTTTACTTCTGAATGTAGTACAGACAGGACACAGGATGAAAAGCTTATTTCAAACTGCTTCTGCTGAATGACTCATAAATATTTTAAACACAAATTTACTATTTCCTGAACTCAGTGAAGCAAAGACAGAAAACATACTGCTTCTCTGGGCTGGCACAAGTCTGACCACGAAGAAGCCTGCCAAGAACTGTTTTCAGCTTATTATAGTCAAGGGGAGAAAAGACGATTTACACTACACTGCAGTAAACGTATTTCATATTTTCCAGCAAGAGAATTTTCTAAAAGCTAACAAGTGCTTCCAAATCTGTGCTGATTTCCAGAATCTCTTTTATGACAGAAGATAGGATTTGTGATGTGTTCAAAATAGTGGACAATCTGTTTATTTGATAAATTAAATGAAGAACAAATACTTAGTTGCATTCCATAAATGTTTTACCTCATACTGACTGCTAGAGAGCAAAGCCTAAAATAATTTTTTGAAAAACAATTAGAGAGGGAAGGCCGTGGCCGGGAAAATGGAGGACCGAAAGGCGGGAGAGGAGAAGCCTGAGAAGTCAAAGCTAGCTGGAGCCGCCGGAGTAATGGAGGGGAAAGTTCCAGTCGCAGCGCTGAGAAG